CTGCCTCCTCTGCTCTGCCGTTCTGCTATTGAGACCGGATAGGAAGTGGAAGAGAGGTGGGCAGAACTCAAGGCAGGCAAGCCAGTGAGAGAGTGGTTGCAGAATCCAGGCAAGAGAAGATGGTGGCCTGTGTCAGGAAACCAGTGGGCTTCTGGAGAACGACTTTTATTCTGTACTAAGCTTTCTTAGCTTGTTGAGCTAAGGCAGAGTACTCATTCTCTCTGAACTTCAAAGCCCTCATCAGTAAAGGAGGGATGATAGTAATCTCTTTCTTACTGGACTGTTACATGGGTAACTGTTGTTGCATGGAGCCTTTTGTAAACTGTAGAGTATAAACATGTGGCCTTTTCTGGGTATCCTTTGCAAGTTGGTGCTGGGCTTTCCTCACCCATGGGCCCATTTCTCGTGGTAGTCTTTTGCCCACCAAATCTCCCCCACCAGTCTTGTTCTGTGCCTAACACTGAGTCTCTCTCTAGTGCCACTCAAACCATGAGAAATTATTTGATTTGGGGCTTGGCTGGTTTTTATCTTATAACCTGGAATGCTAGCTTTAAAATAATACACTCCAGTGCCTGTCCCCTCCCTTCTTAGGCAACATATGTTCAAGTACCGACGGGTACCCAGGTAAAGAATCCACAGAGCCAACATGTGTGGACTCTTCCGAGACAAACTGATTTGAAGACTGTGACTCATCTTTTCATGTTTACAGAACTTCTGCTGATGATCAGTGAACGGTGGGTTTGGAAGGGCCTTAAAGGTCATCTGGTCCAACTCACTTGTTTTTCAAACGGGGAAACTGAGCAACAGAAGAGGAAAGGATCTGGCCCAAGATCACAGAATGAACTAGAAACAGAACTGGAATTACCCGCCCCCCTCCACGCATACACACACGGACTCTTTAATTTTATTTTATGTGTGTCATGAAATCTTTTTATTGGGAATGTGATAAGCTTTACGGTCATGTTTACCCTTTCTGTGGTCCTGGTCCCATAACGAGAGACACTACAGGCCTGTATCAGTGCAGCTCCAAGACAAAGAGGGGGCAGAGGTGGGGAGTGTTAACCCATCAGTGCTTTCCTTCATGCATCAGACTTCACTAAGCACCGCCTTTATGCCAAGTCCTGAGGATACTGAGACAAAAGACATGAGCCCTAGCTTCAAGGTGTTCAAAATCTAGTGATGAAGACAACAACATAAAAACAGTCTCTGGGTGGGCAGGTGATTTTCCATACAGCTAAATGAAGCATTCTTCCCATCTGTTGCCTGCACGTTATATTTATACGTCTGATGGCATTGGCTCTTTTCATATATAGATTACTATGAGACTGAGTCTCCCAGAAGGAAACATACCAAATACCACAACTTGATGAAGACCAGTGCTGAGGTTCTTGAGTCCCTACTTCACAGTGGTTCAGTGCCCCTCATTCATTCGTTTCCTCAAAAATTATTCATCGAGTGCCTAGGATGAGGTACCAGGGATGCAAAGTTAAATAAAAGACAGTCCTCTCCCTCAAGAAGCTAACAATCTAGTAGAGAAATAATGACCAGGGAAGCTTTTAGCAGGGAATGGAGATGCCTAGGAGAAAGGATGCCTAAGTCAGCCTTGGAAAGTCCACAAAGGTTTCACAGACGGGGTGGCATGTGAGCTGAGGCTACTTAAAGAAAGAGAAGAAGCCTGCTAAACAAATGAAAAGACAGATAGGGAGAAAATGAGGATGCGAGTAGGCAGTACAGGTGCCAGGCTAAGGAGGTGAGGCTACATCCTGTAGACAAGGAGAAGTGTTGACAGTTTTAGGGAGAGGCTCAGATGGCAAGGTTTGTATTTTAAAAAATTCATTCAAGCAGCCATACAGAAGGTGGGCTGGAGTCAGGGAGTGCAGAGAGGATCATCAGTCCAAACAGGGCCGGCCGGAAGCAGTGGCAGGGCCGTGTTGAGCCAGGCCAGAACTTGATTTTCCACGTGATTCATCTACTGCCAGGCACACCTGACTGATAGTTGCTGACCATGACCGGTAACCAAGAAGCATGAAGTTAGACATGTGAGTCTCCAAAACTGATTCATGGTCCTGACAGTGTTTCCTGTGTGAGACCACCTTCTCCCCAGTCAGTCAGCAGGAACAGTTTCAGACACCATTCTCCATCCCTGGAGAATCCACGCTTCCTTGCTTAAGAGAGAAGCTGACATGTTATTGATCTTTTTTTTTTTAAGATTTATTTATTTTAGAGAGTGTGCAGGAGTGGGTCAGAGGGAGGAGGAGAGAATCGTTAAGCAGACTCCGCACTGAGTGCAGAGCCTGTTGCAGGGCTTGATCTCGCAACCCTGGGATCAGGACCTGAGCCAAAACCAAGAGTCGGAGGCTCAGCTGACGGCGCCACCCAGACACCCCCATGCTGTTGACCTAAAGGCATTTGGGAGAGGCAGGTTTTTTTTAACACTTAATCCACTTTCCCAACGTTAATACAAACTCATTCTGGCTTGTGGTTTTGGTAAACTCCAACAGTCTTTTCCAAAATAGGGCCTGGCAAAGTGACTGATCCTTCCCTCATCTATTCTTTCAGTGCCAAAAGGCACTGATTCAGCCTCACAAACCTTCCTGCTTTTGCTCCTCCTGTTCCTTCTGAGATGCCTTCCATCCACCTGTCTGGGATTATGCACTGGAGCCCTGCTAATCCAGGTTCAAATTCTGGCTCTGCTGCACATTACTTGTATGGTCTTGTACAAGAGAGCTGCCCTAATCCTTACTGCTGAGCTGTCATAGGGTTAAAGATGGAGTGTGTAAAGTTCTCAACACAGTGCTTATCTCACAGCCAACACTCAGCATTCAGCAGCTGTTATTGTTAGGTGAAATTCGGGTTCAGTAATGAAAATTTGTAATTCTCTAAACAACAAAGTGAAATCCTGAAAATTTGGTAATACATCTTTTGATTAGCAGGATAACCATGGATTACAGTTTTCTCACCCAGATCAATTAAACTTGACACCTGAGTACCCAACTTGATTTCCATATCCAGCTGTGGGATCCCACAGTACCTATAATTAAGAGATAGTTGCTAATAAGAGACGTGGAGCTTGAAATTAAGAGCAAAAATAAGTAGAGATGCTCCATGATAAAGGGCATAGTTGCTGATCCTCAGGTTCTTTGCTCAAACAGAAGAGCCTGGAAGACAAATGGCCATTTTAATGATATGCTCTCATTGTGTTAGGTTGGGATGATGCTGAGGAGAAAGCTTTCTTTGGAAGTAGAGACGTTTCATCACAGTGAAAGAATTGTTCAATGTTAGGGCAGGTCACTGATAATGGGTGTGGAATCTATTGTAGAAGAAGGCAAAAAATTAAAAACAACAAAGTATGTTATGAGATTACCCCTTCTGGATGATTGCAAGTATAGACCTGCCTAGAGCTGAGGAGAGAATTTGTCTCCAGCACATTGAAGGCCTACGTCCACTTGGGTAAATTTTTCAAAGCCTAATTCAGTTCCTGTATCAGGATTTTTAATATCTTATGACACTTCCCTTATTCTGATGATTCTTCAGATTTTCACTTTTAATTTGACTTTTTTTTAAAGATTTATTTATATTTTAGAGAGGGAGAGAGAAAGAGAGGGTGGAAGGGAGGGGCAGAGAGAGAATCTCAAGCAGACTCCACACTGAGTGCGGAGCCCGATGGGGGCTCAATCTCATGACCCTGAGATTAGAACCTGAGCCAAAACCGAGTCAGACAACAGACTGCACCACCCAGGCGCCCCTTGATTTGACTTTTTAAATCAGTCTGTGGTTAATTTGTTTAGTTTTCACTTTTTATTTTATTGTTAACACAAGAACATTAAAGTGAAACTTTAAAAAATCATCTTTAATTTTTCTGCACTAATACAAAAACTATTTTAATTTTGGAATATTATCTTTGTTTACCTACTTATTTCTTAATTAGTCCTTACACTAAATCTGTAAAGAGTTTTTTTATTATATACATTTTATTAAGGAAGAAATTTAAGGAGTGCCTGGGTGGCTCAGTCGGTTAAGCATCTGCCTTCAGCTCAGGTCCTGATCCCAAGGTCCTAGGATCCAGCCCCATGTCAGGCTCCCTGTTCAGCAGGGGAGTCTGCTTCTCCCTCTCCCTCTACCCCTCCCTCTGCTCATGCTCACTCTCGCTCACTCTCTCTCTGTCTCTCAAACAAATAAATAAAATCATTTTTTAAAAAAGGAAGGAATTTAAGATAAAGCAATTAATTAATATTGCCCTAAGTAATACACACGGTAAATAGTCAATAACCTGGCAGATAACGGATGTAGGTAACATTATTTTATGTATTGTTATTTTTACCTACCACCCGTAATAATATCAGAATGGAATTAGGTCAACTGAAATTCACCACTCAATCTTTCTAAAAAGCCACCAAGTTTGTCAACATTGATGGCAACGTTGTAGGAAACCTCTGAAGAGAAGAGAATTAATTTGACTAATAAAGATAAGCTGTTTCCATTAAAAAAAAAAAAAAGCTGCAACGTTAGAACTAAACCAGCTGAGATTTCCTACCATTACTGATCAGATTTCCCAAGTCGGCTTGTAATCATTTGTCTGTAAAGCCCTCTCATTGCATGTGTCAATAATCCCACTTAATATCCTTACAAACTAAATGTGGAATTAGATACCCAGGCAGCAAGTGCTGATGCACTTTAATTCATAACAGGAGAATATAAAAATTGCCCATATACTTTACATGAGTAGCACAAACAAGGACGGCTGCTTTGCCATGGGGGAGTCGATGCTATGTGCGCCAGGACTCCTGATGGATGAGCCCTACAGCCTTTCGAGCTGTGTGAAGGGTCTTTTTCGCTCGTCTCCTTTCTGGAATGCCAAATAGAAGGAGGCAGACTTGGGGGGATTTGATCTGACACACTAGAGGGAGTGCCCACCCACGGGCTGCTCGGACCTCTGACTTGGCTCCTAATCAAGTTTGAAATGATCATGGCTAATTGCATTCATTTGCTTCTTTCTTCAGGCAGAATGGGGAAACAGAACAGCAAACTAGCCCCCGAAGTAATGGAGGACCTGGTGAAGAGCACAGAGTTTAATGAGCACGAGCTCAAGCAGTGGTACAAAGGTTTCCTCAAGGACTGTCCAAGCGGGAGGCTGAACCTCGAGGAATTTCAGCAGCTCTATGTGAAGGTAAGACGTTTTCAATCTCTTGTTTGCTTCAGGCCACAAAACGCTGTCTTCGTGAAATGTTATAACTCCAAGTAGCCCATTTGTTTCAGCCTGATGGTTTTCCAACCAAAAGGGAGAATGCACGTTTTTAAAAATGCACAGGGATGCATTTTGTTCCAGGTGTTAAGTCAAGCAGTTTCTGAATACGGAGAGCAAGTGTTCAATCAAAACAATGACTAGAGTTCAAAGGATGACAGCATTGGGTGTAACCACAGTGGAAATCTCAGAGAATAGTGTTTGCTGATGATTATTGACATGCTGCTAATTACACTATTGTTAGGCTTGTTAAAGGTATCTGCAACTCTCTCCATTAAAGAGAAAGTATATGGTGCACTTACTCACCACGAAATGTCCTCCTATTTGCAGATAAGAAAAAAAAAAAAACCTAGATTCCCACAACAGCACATTTGGAAGGGGTTGGGGAGGTCCGGTACACATTTGGGCATCAGGGTCTACAACACGGACTCTTAACTCAGCATTTTGTACCGTGTACAAGTTAATCTTACCCTGGACATTAGATAAAACTATCCATGGAAGGTATAATTTCTATTGCCATGGTATGATTTTGGTTCTTCTGAGTTTATCAGTTGGACTGGTTCTAGATTTGGCAAGATCTAAGACATTCCAGTTTGTGTCTACTTATATAATGTTAGGCTTGTGGAAGAAGGGCGTTGTCTTTCTTTGAAATTTTTCTGACTAAAATACCAAATAGAAAATACTGCTTTCATCCTTTAAATGTAGCCACCATCAGTCTGAGTAATATGAACCATCCATCTACCTGCATCTAGATGTGGGGAATGATTGTGTCAAGTATGAACATTGCTCTTCCCTCCCGAAGTTGAGTGTCTCACCTCGCCTGTGCTCCAGCAGTTCCATCCCCGCACGTGTGCAAGCAGGGGCATGTATAAGAATGCTTACAGCTGCACTGTTTGCAATAGCAAAACTGGGATGCAGCCCAAATGCCCATCAAAGGGAGAGTGGAAAATAAACTATGATCTATTCATATAGCAGTCAAAGCAGTTGAACCGTAACGTCACAGAAACCTCAAGCACAAAAAGTTAAGTCTTAATATTCTAAATTAAACACAAATAAGACTAAAAAATATTTTATAGGACTACAAATTAATGCAATAAAATCATACTGGAAAGGAAAGAAAGAGTGATGAACACAGGATCCAGACCAATGGCTACATCTAATAGGGAAGAGGAGAGGGATGGGAAGGTGGGTAGGGCCACATGGTTAGATACACATTGTATCTCAGTGGTAGCTGTGGTTTTGGGTGGTGAGTTTGCAGATGGGTGCTTACTGCATTATTAAAAGCTCAGTAACCCCGTAAGGACCACTGCTGAGTGTCAGGGACCCAGGATTATCATTAAGCCAAAGCTGAGCAGCCGAGGGTCCCAGGTATATACAAAACTACCTCCTTAAATGTGTGTGGAAAGGTATACCTAGAGTGGCACGTGTGTAATTTATAAGATCACTGTGCCCTTTCTAAGACCTAAGACATGAGTTTTTATCATGTGGAGCTTTTTCATGTAGAAGTGCCGAGAAATGCATTTATTATTCAATTGATATAAATTGCTTTTGCAGAGAAGCAGGATGGTATGCATTTTTCCTGTATTATATTCAACCACTCTCCGTAGTTTTCAAAGTCACATCTTCAAACGTTTTATCACCCAGGAGTTAGCCTGAGCTTCACAACTGTCTTCACTCTCAGCCCCAAGGAAAGTACAGACAAATGAGATTTGTCAAAGCTACTTTCGTATCACTGGAGGTCATGCAAGCTGTCACTCTGTGTTTAAGAAAGCTCTGTGTGCCACATTCCCCACTAGTTGTTTAAAATTAGAGAGGTTTGCCTTTGAAGAAATAGTTGAAATGCAGGAAATGAGGATATTTCATTTACATACTGGAAGTACTCAGCCCTGGAGCAGCACCAGCCTCAAGATGGAGGTGGGGGGGCCTGTAAACATTAGAGACAGCTCAACATTTTGTGGTAAAACGGATATATATATATCAACATCATTGCCCTCCTTCACCTCTCCCACCCACCCCAGAGTGGATTTTTTTATTCCAAGAAGAGAATATCTGACTTTCTGGATGGAGTTTAGATTCTTGGCAGCCTCTTAACAGCCATGTTCAAACTCAGCCTGTGCTCTTGTGTCGAATCATCCGAAAGCAGGCAAAGTCTTTTTTTTTTTTTTTAAGATTTTATTTATTTGACAGAGAGACACAGCGAGAGAGGGAACACAAGCAGGGAGAGTGGCAGAGGGAGAAGCAGGCTTCCCGCCGAGCAGGGAGCCTGATGTGGGACTCGATCCCAGGACCCTGAGATCATGACCTGAGCTGAAGGCAGACAACCGACTGAGCCACCCAGGCACCCCAGAAAGCAGGCAAAGTCTTCTCCTTCCAGAGCTGTTCAAGGACATAATACAAAGGAGAACCACAGAGGAAATATGTCATGTACACAGGGAGAAAAAAAAAGACAGCTCTGATATGCTAGAAGGAAGAAGCCCACAGAAAGATGTGGATTATGTAATAAGGCTCAAGAGAAGGGCTGACAAGAAAAGACTTCCTTTAATGCTACTGCAAAGTGCAAATATTGAGCAAGGAACTGACCTTATCCTGGTGAATAGGCACTTCTCAGTGGCTCCTTCTTTCCCAGTGTAGACACTGAGACATCCTGGAATCCAGCTGAATGAGCAAAACTGCCTGTGGTCTCTGCCCTCCTGTCTGGGTGGTCAGCCTGGTGCCTCTGCGATCACCAACCTGACCCACTTCAGGCCCCAGGAGAGACACTTTGCTGCTGTAGAACCCCACTCTTTTGAGGGTGTGAGGGGGAGCAGGATAATGAGAGAGACCCCCTGAACAGCCAGGAGCCATAAATTCTCAACTTTAGAAGCCTTTGTATCCAAAAGAGAAAAAGAACCCCTTCATTAGGTCTATGTTTAAAAATGTTTAAAACTGAAGTTCAGATAAATGAGGCCTAGTGTCACAGAAAGAGTGAAGGTAGGAAGCACAGAAAGATGGGCATGCCCGCTCTCACCACAGAACACGGCCCTGCCTCGCAACAGGGTTCCACAGCAGCCCCCCATCAGCCTCCCGCAGCCCCTCCAACATACAGCTGCAGGAGCGCGCTTCACAGAGCACAGGTCTGGGCACGGGCCTTCCGAGTTCGGTTCATTCTTCCGTCGCGTAGACCACAGTCACCTCAATCAACATAAGACCCAGTGGTTAGCACAAAACCTGCCACAACCTGCCATCAGTAAGTGTTTGCTGAGTGAATTCTATTAATCGCTGGCCGTGTATCTCCTTCTCAGGGAGCCTTGTGGTGGAGACATATAGAAATGACTAAAGGATGGGTCCTGCCTGCCCTCCAGGATCTCAGAGGCTGATCAAGAAGGCACAGTTAACCCCAATGCAAGGCAGAATGACGTAAATGCTTGTTGGTGGGGCAAGAGGAGAAAGACGAGGTTAATTTCAAAATGGGATATTAAGCGTCTGCCTTCAGCTCAGGTCATGATCTCAGGGTCCTAGGATCGAGCCCTACACTGGGCTCCCTGCTCAGCGGGAGGCCTGCTTCTCCCTCTGCCACTCCCCCTGCTTGTGTTCCCTCTCTCGCTGTGTCTCTCTCTGTCAAATAAGTAAATAAAATCTTTAAAAAAAAGACAAACAAAATGGGATGTTAAAAGAAGAAGCTAATGAATGCAGTGATGAAAGGCAAACTTTTCTCTTCACCTTTTAGAAGGTAAAACGTCTCTGAGTAGACAGTTTTTACCTTTTCCAAGTTCAGTATCATGTTTATGTTGCAAAAATATGTTGGTGGAATTAATTCCATTCAATAAGAAATTTTCTAGGCCTAAAGCTTTGGAAATATAAGTCTACTCACTAAAACTCTATTTTTTTGAAGAATTTATTTATTTATTAGAGAGAGAGAATGAGCAAGGGCAAGTGGGAGAGGGAGAAGCATTCTCCCCGCTGAGCGGGGAGCCCAGCACGGGGCTCTATCCCAGGACCTCAGGATCATGACCTGAGCCGAAGGCAGACCTTTAACTGACTGAGCCACCCAGGTGCCCCTAACCAAAACTCTATTGACACAGCCACTCAGAGACAAGTATTAAAACAAATAAAAATAAATGATACCATAGAATCAGCAGCACCTAAACATTTTATGATATTTTAATAGAATAAGAAAGATTTTCTAGTTAATAAAGTATCACAACCATATTCTATAATTCTCTATGTAGAGTTTTAGAATTGTACTCACAAATTATGCTTTTATGCTTAAAAACCAGTATCAGGAGTAAAGGCATGCTTCCTGAAAGTTATATGCAAACATATAATAAATGTGGGATTTTAGGCACAGAATCTTTGTTTTGTAGAATATGAAATAAAACATTTGCATCTTATTTTGCCCTGTTTACTATGTGATTTTGATCAAGTGACTTTGCCAATGAAAAAATAGGTCTACATCAACGGCCAACTCAAACTTGAATGTGTCTCAAAATCGCTTGGGCTGACTATTTAATTGGCAGATTGCTGGATCCCTTCCTCAGGGTTGCTGTTTCACTGGGCCGAGGATAGAGCCCCAGTAAATGGATTCCTAGGAAGACCTCACAGATAGTTTTAATGGAGAAAATCCATGAATGACATTTTGAGAACTATTGGTCTAGTGTTTAACCTGGAAGTATCCTTGGGTAGGCTTCTGGAATTCTGTATACACTGAGATGGTGTGTAAACGTTTGAATCTCTGCTCTCTTGGGACAGCTTTCATCAGATTTACAAAGTGTTCCATAAGGTGAAGAAAGGTTAAGAACCACTAAAGGTGCTCTAACCATTGGCAGGCCTAACGTTCTAATTCCCAAGACAGCAGAGTCAGTGGGTCTTAACTGACACCAGGACAAATGGAGAAACATTCCCTTTTATACTATACTTTCAAATAAACTTCACTGGCAGGAAATAAG